TTAAATAACCAGACCGAAATTGCAAAAAAAATGTAGTGTAGGTTTTAATAATGATTGTGTTAAATTTTGATTTGATTAAAACCTAATTATTTAAATGTATTACATAATTTATTTGGTTTATAAATTAGTATACATACCATATGTATGTACCAATTTTTATTAAATTATGAATATAATTATTTGTGATTAATAAAATTACACAATATTGAGTGAAATTAAGTTAAAATCGGAAAAAATATTGTACAATGGACAAAACTCATAATATATATAAATATAATTTTACCTAAATAACAACTTTGAAAGATTATTTACTTATGTTAATAAACGTCTATAAATTTATAAATAGCCTACAACCTTTATGTCGTAAACCATGAGTAATTTAATTAATTATGTTTATTAAGATAACAAAAGTGTCATAATTTTTATTATAACTTTATTCGATGTGCACTCCTTTACTATCTCAGATACAGTGGCGGATCCAAGCGGAAGTGGGCCTTGATTCAAATTATGCTTGTTGCCCCTGTTCCTGTACAAATAATTATTATATTATATTATATTATATTATATTATATTATATTATATTATATTATATTATATTATATTATATTATATTATATTATATTATATTATTATATTATATTATATTATTAGTATAATTATAATTGGACTATTTAATTTAATAGGAAACATATATATTCAAAAATTTACAAAAAAGAAAGAACTAACACATAAATATGTTTCAAGTTAACTTTTTTTAATGTGCTGTTGAAAATAAAATTGAAATAAAAAAAACACATTTGTACAAATATGATAGCTATAAATGTATCGTAGTATGACTTGATCTTAATTCTGTTTTTGACAAATCAGTGTCAAATGAAAACATCCTGTAGTCGTTAAGATGTTGCCTGGTTGTCAATATTTTAGTAGGCGTGCAATGGTGTATTAATTATTATTATATTATTGAACAATTTTACTTAACTAGGGGCCCTCTATATGATCCGGGCCTTTGCCCAGATATTAATTAATAGCACTTCTGAACTAAACATCCGCGAAATGTTTAAAATTAATGGGATGGGTTGCGATCGTACTCTTAAGTGGCCAAAGAAACTAAAATTGGTTGCAAAGAACTATCAAGGTGAAACTTTTGAAGGGAAAGCATGCCGTAAGCTTCTAAAAAAAGCAGATAAGCTCTTGGATCCAGAAATTTATGGTGAAGTAGGTGTATTTGGAATTATGAAATACGTGTCGGCGTTCAAAGCAATCAATAAAGTCGTCGAAAGCTTATTTTCTACCAAAATCGCCTTTCTTGAAATTGGTGAGCAGGTTACGGCTTTAAGGAAAGCGTTTGAGGCTGTGGGCGTATCTAAGAGCTGGAAAATTCACGTGTGTCTGGTACATATACAGCATTAGCTGCATTTTTTGAAAAATTATAGGTTATTACCTGGTGGTTTCTTGGGTCTTTGGTCGGAACAGGCAGGAGAGTCGGTTCACCGCGAGTTATTGAGGTATTTGGGACCATATAAAAAGAATTCAATAGAAGATCCTAACTATCTAGACCGGCTTAAAAAAGCGGTGGTCGGATTTTTATCTAGTCATATTTAAAATTAAATTATTTCTTTTATTATAAATTGCTGTGTATTATTTACGAGTTCTTCGAGTTTTTCTAGACGAACATGAACGCAACAAAGTATTGACTATTTTATTCATTAAGGATCTGATGCCATTTGGTTTTCACTCATTCTCAACTCCCTTAATGTTTTAATTCGAAGCCTGATTTTGGTCATTTTAATGCAAGCTTTTTGTGGTTCAGGCCCACTGTGTATAACTACCACCTGTAAATCAAAGATAGCTATCTACGATAATTCTTATTGAAATGATTACTAATAAGTACTATAGTATAATATTAAAAGTAAGGTGTAATATTTATATTTCATTTGGCAATGCTTGTTTTGTTAAATAAAGAACTGTTAATAATAATAATATTAATATTTATTTCATTCGCAGTTAATAGTCAGTCAATGTGTATTTTTAAGATCTAATATATACTTTAATTTGCGTTGTGGTGACCATTGTACAATATCAAGTTTGCCTTATCTTTACCAAGTGCCCGTCCGTAACTTCTTTGTCAAAAGTGTATACCTATAAACACAAAGATAACGCAAGACATTAAAATATGGCTACAATGTTGCTAATAATCAAAGTGGTTAACGAGACTATGGTTATGTAAATAAATTAAAAATAAAAATGATATCGGAGGTCAAAGTTTCAAAAGTTTTAAAAGTATTAGGGTTAAACGGCATGGGTAAAACTTATAAAAAAAAATTATTTTAGACTGTAAACAAATATTTTAGATGATACCCAACTTGTAATTTTAATTTATGCACTTTTTTAAATAGACACTCGGTCCAAGTAACCGTTTTCGAAATATGTGCGTTTAAATTGGTTTTTTGTGATTAATAGAGTATTAAGTAATACTTAATAAGTATTAATAGAGTATTAAGTATTAAGTATACTTAACATTTTTAATTCACAATGAAATGGGGGCTGAACTGAACAATTTGAATACAAATACTTCAAAAACGGTTACTCGCAGCGACAAAAGTATTCCTTTTTCACCTAATAGGTACAGATAAAAAAGTAATATTTTTATTGAAAACGTGAATGCACTAAGACGCAAAGATGTGACCATTTAAACATATAAAAAGTGTCGCAGACAACCTACATTAATTTTTTAAGAAATTTAATTTTTTCAGCCTGAAAAACCCCAACCCAACCCCAAACGTTTGTTTTTTCTAAAGTTATTTAATAAACCACTGTGTGCCTGAACGAAGTTTAAGTCACATAAAAATGCCGCCAAAAATTGATTGCAGTTTCTTGTTCGGGACCCTTTGGTGACTTAAAAATGATATTTACCAAAATCCTAGCCGCACCTCTTTTCGAATTTTTTTGAAAATTCATGATTTTATTTTTAATTTTTGTTTATCTTACCTTTGACAGAGTACAAATTTGTAAACCGATTTTTATTGATTGCAGTTTTTTGTTCGGGACCCTTTGGTAACTTTAAAATGATATTTACCAAAATCCTAGCTGCTCCTATTTTCGAAATTTTTTAAAAATTCTTTTTTTTTAAATTTTTGTTTATCTTACCTTTGACAGAGTACAAATTTGTAAACCGATTTTTATAATATTGGAGTATATTATTAAGGAGATTTGGAGAATAATTTTTTTATACTGTGCACATCATTTAATAATAGGGTTAGCCAAAAATCGCTTCTTTTAATAAAGCATCATAAATTTACGCTTTTGGCATAACACGCAAAAAAGTTATATACCCCATGTTTTTTTTAAATATTTTTATGTTTATCAGGCTACAAAATGGGATTCTTATAAGAAATATATTGAATAAAATTAAATAAAATAACATTTTTTGGAGATAAATCTTTTTTGTGCAATATGCTTTTTGCTACATAAAAAAGTGATTTTTGGCTAACCCTGTATAAATCTAATGATGTGCTCAGTATGAAAACAGTATTCTTCAAGTCTCTTTAACAATATACTCCAATATTATAAAAATCAGTGTACAAATGTGTGTGTGTGTATGTGGGTGTGTGTGTGTGTGTGTGTACTCTGTCAAAGGTATACCTTAAAATAAACAAAAATTAAGAATTTTTAAAAAATTTCGAAAAGAGGAGCAGCTAAGATTTTGGTAAATATAATTTTAAAGTTACCAGAGGATCTCGAACAAGAAACTGCAATCAATAAAAATCGGTGTACAAATGTGTACTCTGGTAAAGGTAGACTTAGCGATAAACAAATAATAAAAAAAATGAATTTTTTACAAATTTAAAAAAAATCAGTTAGAATTTTGTTAAATATCGTTTTTAAATCTCCAAAGAGTGCCGATCAAAAAACTTTAACCAGATTTTCGTTTAAAATTTAAAACTACTAAAATGCCTAAATTAGGTAAAGAATATTTTAAATATTCTTTAAGCGTTATTTTATTTAATTTTATTAAAAATCTATTTTTTTTTATAAAAGGTTAATAAAAATGCCAATTTGTAACCTTTTTTGCGTGTTATGCCAAAATCATGAATTTACGCTTTTAATTTATAAAAATAGGCGATTTTTGGCTCACCATGTATATGTCAAATGATGTGAACAGTATTAAAAAGTATTCTTTAAGTCTCGTCAATAATATACTCTAATTTTATAAAAATCAGTGTACAAATGTGTACTTTGCCAAAGGTAGACTTTGAAATAAACAAAAAATTAAAAAAAAAAAATCATGAATTTTCAAAAAATTTCGAAAAGAGGAACTTCCTGTTTCCTTTTTTTTCCTTTTTTCTGTGTAGTATGATTTAATTTGACCACAAACACATAATATTTAACACTGAAAAGGAGTTTAATTTACACCAGGTAAAATTTATTGTAATACTGTGTGAAAGTTAAATTAACACCATTTTAGTATTTGAATTTACACCGGACCAACGAACCATATTTAACACCATTTTGGTTTGTATCGATATAGACCATGTATGCATACATCATGTTGTTAATTTGGTGTTAACATGGTCATGAAATTTTGAACAGTGTATAAATTGCTATATATTATAAACTATAGTTTTTAGATAAGAAGACGTTTTTGTAAACTATATTTTGTTATCTTAAACCAATAAATTCCCTATTCTTAACCTATTTTAGAATAAACTGTTACAGTACAGGTATATAGTGATTATATTTTGTTTTAAATCGATTTTTTTCAAATTCCACTTGTCTACCGTTGCTTGACTTAAAAAAATACTATTATACCTAAGTATATGATAAAATATTTTATTTAGTTTTAAGCATTAATGTTTTTTATATACTTAATAGATAAAACTGATAGCAGGTCACACTTAAAAATAGCCAAAATTTTGCTGTCTGATTTATAAAGTTTATCTGATTAGCTAATAAAGTCAACTCTACCCAATAATAAAACTGAAATTGTTTATATTTTTCAGAAACTAGTTTTGGTCGTCATTTACTGGCGCTTCCATCGTCAAACAATACCTACCAAAATATTTATCCAACAATTCCAAGCAACCTGTTGGGAAATGCAACAACTACAAATAAACGAAACTGCACTCCGCCAGCCATCAACGAATTTCCATCCGATGGTTTCACGCGAGTCCAGCGCAAACAAGGCTGGGTGATAATACACGCTTTTGTTGCATGCTACTTATTTATCCTATTAGCCATTGTCTGTGATGATTATTTCGTACCTGCAATTCAACACTTTTGTGACGGTAAATATTGACTTTGTACTAATTGTTTCGTACTTCCAAGAATTTAAACATATTTGGTTATCATAAATAATAACATGCAATATTAGAAATAAAATACAATGGTAAAATGGATAATATATTTATTATTATTCTAAAAATATTTTAAGTTAAAGGTATATCTATAACAATTTTTAAATACTTTCTGCTCAGTAATCCAAATATTTTATCCAAATATTTTATACTATTTAACAGTCTAAATATTAAAAGTACACTGAAAGAAATTTGTTGCTAAAAGTAAATACAAATTTATACTAAAAATTTTATACTAGTGCTTTACACATTTATACTACTGTTTATTATGAATGTATGGTAAATTTTGTAATACATTTATTGTAAAGAAGATATGTTAGATCTAAATAAAAATAAACTTACCCTTACTATAAAATGTAAACTATAAGTGAATTACAGCAAAAAAATATTGCTAGAAACACCATTTATATTGCTAGGGCAGCAATAGGCTGCTAACCAAACGAATATATTTGTTTTAGCAATGTATGTGGTAGTCTATATATGAAACATAAAATATATTTGCCCTAATTATTTTTTTATTTAACTTTAGTATATATTTCTTTCAGTGTAAAGGAAAACCACCATAATCCCAAGAAAACTAGAATCCTATGCAATTAATTGTTTTATTATTAATAATACGAAACAGAAAACGAATCCCCATGAAGCAGTAAAAATAATGCTAAATAAGAAAAAAATGTTTTAGTTATGTGGTTATGATCATTATTTACCTACCTTTTTCGTTAAACTGATTAACAGTTTTTAAATGTCAAACAAATAACCCTGATGAAAAACTACTTAAATTTATGTTTAGTGAATAATAGTAAATAAATTTAGACGACGAAAAGTACAGCGAAAAAAATATCAAGGAGTTAAAACTAATAATTTTACCTGTAGATTATAGTAAAAGTAAAAGTAAAACCACGTTTATTTTTTTTAACCTAGACAGAACTATTGTACTTAAAACAGCAATAAAAAATAAAAATATACTTAATAGTACCTATTAAAAAAATATAGTAAATGGTACCTAATTATTATACGAGAGATAATTCAGGCTATTATTCTCGAGTATGCTTTTTTTACTTTAATTAATTAGTTTTCATTAATAACCTTACTTTCTCAGTATTTTAATAGTATATTTTTTAAGTTTGATAAACGCCATTTTAGCGACGAGCGAGTGCTTAATTAAATGAGTGCCTAGAAAAGTTTATAAACGAGTTTCACACAATACTTTGTCTACGACAAAAACTTAATATTATCTAAAAAATAATTTAAATTAAATATTTGTATAAAGCGACATCTGTACAAAAATAAAGTAACCATCCCAATACATATTTTAGACGTAATTTTCACCATTAACATTGCCCGATATTATTATAATTAAACAGTTATTAATACTTTAAAATATTAAAATAAGTTTAAAATACGATTAGGTTCAGAAAATATTTTATCCTTTAATTTTTTTATTATTATATTTGCAAAATATATTCACAAAGTATTAAAAATTCTTACACGGGAAATGTTAAAGGTACAAAATGGAATTAAAATGTATTCCTTAAAAATAGACTAACATTTGATATGGAAGCAGTTTTTCACAGTAAAAAAAAGATAATGTTTTATGAGCACAACATTTTTAACGCTTTATCAGTTAAATCCAGTTAACTACGGCTAAATCAAAAGTTAAGTATAAATGTTCATATAATCTTTTCAAATATTGGTGTCAAGAACCTATTTAATACTTTTGAATTTTTCTATTGAGATAACTTTATTTTGTATGACATTTAACAACTGTCAAATAACTTAAATCTAACTTCAGCCCGTGACTAAAAACCTGTTGCTAACTTCACCCCGTGATTTTAGCGCCTTAAAGCCACAACTTGTTAATGTGTATTTAAAAAGTCATGGAAAATGTACGATAAGGGCCTTTTAAAGGTGGAAGTAGAAAAAAATCATGCCCCATGTAGTAATACATAAAAAATCCAATATCATTTCCAACCTTACATTTTTCAATTTAAAACCGGATTAGTCTAAATCACAGTGTATTTGTATTTTGTATTGAGATAACTTTATTTTAACGATTGTATGAAATTTAACAACTGTCAAATAACTTAAATATAACTTCAGCTCTCTAACCTGTTGCTAACTTCACCCCTTGACTAAAGCGCTTTAAAGCCACAACTTGTTAATGTGTATTTAAAAGGTCATGGAAAATGTACGATAATGGGGATTTTAAATTCCCTTAAAGTTATTTTTTAAACGTTTTTTATTATTAAATAAAAGGGCCTTAAAAATATTTATTTTCTCGAAAAATCCTCAAACACTCAAACAACTGAGATATAAGTTGAAGTATTTTTACACAAATTTTCATAAAGATTGGTAAAGGCGTTTTAGAGTTAGAATTTTTTACCCATCATGCGTTAATTTTGAGGGGAAGTATATATATGTGAAAATGCCTATCACCAATCATGGAGTCTACGTCTAACTCGCAGCAGAGCAGCAACAGCAGCCCAGCAGATGAGACCTGAAGATGGTACATGAGATTGTTCACCAAAACGGTTATCTCTAACACCAATTTTAAACAAATGCACCAGGAAACAACTTTGACCGAATTTCTACTGATAGTTCTGATAAACTCCTTATTATTATATTTTATTAACAACATCTATTTTCCGATAAAGTATGATTTTTTTTCACGGAAAAAACTTTCCCAATTTTCTACTAAATTTTTATTTGACAAAGACAACAAATCCTTAGATGGATTCTTTAGTTTCGTTTTAATTTCCAGATTGACTCCCGATTAAAATAAATTCCTTCTATTCCGGCATGACCATGGTCATGCGGGAATCCATCATATGAGTACATCCCACCATCATTAAGGATGAGGAAGTATAGGTTTTGAATTCCAAGGCCTATTTTGTCATTAATTTTTCCAATATTAATTTTATTAATAGCCGCTTTTTAATCTTCAATCTAACTACTGCAGATAGAGAAAAATAGATCGCATATCTCTACTGTATATATAGATGCCCTGCTAGAAATTCTGACGACTTTCTCAATCTTAAGACTAGGAATGTATTTTCCAAAAGAGGATGAAACTTGGGGAAATACAGATCCCTCGGTAAATATATAAGTAAATTTCGGCCAACTCCTTTCTTCATATTCTCTAAATATTATATTTACCTGTGAATTCTTTAGAGTTATGGGAATGTGCTTTAATAATTGTTTACAAAGGTCCAACTTAAACATAGGTAAAACATTATTCAATATTATTTAATCATTATGCAGGGATAGTCTTACAAATGACTTAAGCAGACATACTTCTCAAATATATTCCTATAAATCCTCCAGTTCTTGCATCAATTCCTAAAGTTTTAGGAGTTTATTCCAGGGCCGGGCCTAAGGGGGGTGTAGGGGGGGGAGTCACCCCCCCCCAAAGTCTTGGCAGTTGGTTCCAAATCCAAACACGGTTGGCAAAATCTATAGTATTTGGTTCGGTTGGTTGGGTATACCTACCCTACCAACCCATCATCAAAATGAAATATAATTTTTAAACTATACCTACATATTACAAAATTATAATTTTTAATCTATTGTAACCTCCTATAATCGGTACCGTGATGAAAATTGTATTGGTCAACCATATTTTTATTAAAGGACAATATATTTCATACAAGCGTCATGTGCAAAGTCGGCACCGCCTCGAGCCGCGATCGCGGCTTTGTCTTTGGCTTTGGCGGCGTTTGACTCTTTTTACGCACCGCAATTTTCGGCGTCTTATTTTTCTAGATTATTATTTAGTAAAAGCTTATCTAAGCTAAGTAAAACTAGTGTCAATAAATAGGAATTATTTTTTTTTAATATGAAAAGAAAGCTAGACCGGGCCGAGTTCTAGTAAAATGCTCATTATGTGGATCTGTGTTTAACAAGGACTAGAAAAAAATGCATGAGAAAAATATTCACGGTGGAAATTTGGTTAAAATTAAAATTGTTGCTGTTCCGGATAATCCATTTACATTGGCAGCAAGTCAAAAAAAAATAGAGAACGAGAATCAATCCCATCGACTTCGAAAGAGCATGCTAAATTAGCATTGCTAATGGTAGGTAAAGACATTCTTTATCTACACTTTACAGCACTTTACATACATGATAAAACTACTGAAAATTTTTACTATTACTACCTACTAAAGTATCGATAAAAAAAATAAGTTGGTTTTTTTATCGTCTCCACCCCCCCAAAAAAGTGTGCCTCGGTACGGCCCTGGTTTATTCTAATAAATAATAGATAAAACGATAATACTCCCTATTAAACCACCATTCCTTATAAAGTTCTTGCATCAATTCCTAAAGTTTTAGGGGTTTATTCTAATAAATAATAGATAAAACGATAATACTCCCTATTAAACCACCATTCTTTATAAAGAAAGTAAAAAATACTATGCAATGAAATAATTGAACTGTCCATGGACAAGTGCAGCGCTGACAATTGAAGGTGCAGAAAATGACAAACACTAGCAAATATTATTTTACAGAGCTAAAAGGCAATAACGATCCTTGGTGAGTTTAGTTAAATATATAATTAAGAATAGTACAAGAGGTGCAATCTTAATAAAAACTGTTAAAACTGAAGTTAGGTAGTATTTTGTATGGTGTTCTTTTAAAGGAACGGTGGCATTATCTGGGTTAGTTGCCTAGCACAGAATCTACTGCCTCTGCTAGCCCCTGGGCAGTAAAATGTATGCTTGGCTATAAGATAAGCTTTCTTCGCCTGGTCTTTTATACAATACAGCCACGAACTATACCATTTTGGCACGGTTTTTCGGATAAAATCAACTGATTGTGCACGCTGCTAATTTTTGCATGACAAAAGTAAAAATTATCGTAGTATTTCGGTTTTAGAGTTTAAAAAGAAATAAACACTATATAAAACTTAACACTAATGTTCCACTTCTATTGCACAATATTCTGTTTTTCCGTACATAATGATAAACATTATAAATTACCTGCCCAACAACGAAAATGGTGAACTCAATATTTATGTTGAGAGGCCTGTTTCAATATTCACTGTGATTTAAATCAATCGAGTTTTAAATTGGGAGAAGGCGGCTATAATAATATTAAAAATTGGAAAAAGTAAGGTAAACCATCTGAAAGATGTAAGATTTTATATACCTATTTATTTTTGAAAATCATTTAATTATTTACTTATAAGTGTTCTTAGGGAATAATAATATATTGTTATATGCATAAACCTAAGAGTAATACTTTACTCCAATATATTGGAGTAAAGTATTACTCTTAGGTTTATGCATATAACAATATATTATTATTCCCTAAGAACACTTTGTATATAAACGCACTTAAATACAACTACACTGTGCAATAATTGTTAATCACTATCCATTACTGTCGCTTTGTTAATCTATAACTCTACTCTACATTTTTTCTATCACCATTCCTCTAGAGGTGACTATACTTCGACTCTCACACTACGCCCATTTTAGTCAAAAAGCTTTTGGATAATTTATTCCTGTCCTGTCCTGTCCTAGGATAATATTAATGGTTATACATTTATTTTATTGTATTTCAGCCTTAAGTATGAGCAAAGATATAGCAGGAGCAACATTTATGGCAACTGCAAGTTCTAGTCCCGAATTATTTATTAACTGTGTTGGAACATTTGTTACCGAAGGCGATCTAGGAGTGGGTTCAATTATTGGTTCTGCAGTATTTAATGTTTTAGCGGTTCCTGCATGTTGTGGACTTTTCGGAAACATGGTGAGAATAAAAACAAGAAATACATTCCTGGACAGACATTTATTTATTTTTAAGTAAATTTCAAAGACACTTTTTTATCATTATTCATTCTGTCTACAACAGCTTAAATGAATATGATAATAAAGTATAATATAATAATTATATGGGTCATTCCACCAGTTACCAAATTTTTCAAATCTTTCTCTACATCAAAATACTCACTGAAGATTTGAATTATATTAAGTACTTTCCTAGTGATGATTTTTTTAATTTTGACGATATACATTTTTTTAACGTTATAGAAAAGGTACTGTTTTTTTTTCAAGAAATTATTAGCTTTTTAATGAAAATATTTATTATTTAATATAATTAACAAAAGGCCCTCTTGCCTGGCTGCAATTTATATTCTTTATTTTTGTAATAAAATTCTGGATAAACTGTTTTCTATTTTTAAATTACTTTTTTTTTAAGTTAAAAACTGTTTCGTAATTACTGAGTATGGAATTAAAAATACTTTTATGTTGTAGTATCATGGTGTGTAATGAAATTATAATGCATGCTCTTACGATGTACGATGTACATATACATATATCTAATTTTAATTAAAAATGGTTTTTTTTTAAGTATAATACTTAATAATTAACCCGTTATAAATATATTGGAGTTATTCTAAAAAAGGAATATCAAGTAACGACGAGGCTAAAGAAAAAAAATCCTCTATAACAAAATTGCGTAGTTTAATTTTTCTACAAAATGTTCAAAAACGTATGACAAAGAAACAACTTTTTGAATGTTTTTGTTTTTTTATGTTAGGTATAACGGGAATAATGAACTTGACAGATGTCAGATTTTATTTATTTATGTTTGAAAATCATTTAATTATCTACTTATTAGAGCAGATAAAGTATACACATAAAAAAATCTAACATAGTACCAAGAACAGCTCTGTCGTTTAATGCATTAAAATTGAAGCAATCTAAATTGATATTTGCTCAATTAATTACTATTAAACCAAAACAGGGAAACATTTTGCCTAAATGATAAAGAATTTATTGCGTTAAATGTAGTATATTTATTAGTTCATTAGTATAGTTATTAAATAAATCAAATTAGTATTTAATGCAATAACATTTTAACATAAAATGAAAATAAATATCAATATAAATATCAAGCGATAACTTTTGTTGTTAATTTAAAAACAGTAAACGATTATAAACCAAGTGATACTACCTATTGGTATTATAGGAACTGTTATTCAGGAATACGGATTACAAGATCCCATTGGTTTAATGGCTCACCCAATCATGCTATGCTAGCGTTTTTTCTGTGTAGTATTACACTCGAGATTATGCGCATTGTCTCTCATATAATAATATATTATTATTAAATAACTACATAATTTTTTTTCTTTTCATATATTTTTTAAAATATATAATTTGTTTACCACTCAACAGCAAATTTTTGTACAATAAAAGAAGACAAAAAAATATACGAAAATTCCCAGGAAAATTCTATAACGGGAAAACTCTGTGGAATTTCCCATATATTCCTTCGAATTTTAGGTATGTTTTTAAATCTTATTTTCAATGATTTATTAATCTTACAATACTAAAAAAGGTTTTATTTATTTTTAAAATTTTTAATTAGTTGTCATAGTTGTGTTGGATATGCACTTGGGTTAAAAGTTTGTAAATACTTATTTCGATATGTGAATTTTTTATTATGTATGTAATATTTAATTAAATAACATTAATGGAGGAAAATCTATAAAAATATTATTAGTTCAACAATTGAGAAAGTTGGCCATTTGCATAGGAATGAAATATTGCGAGTAATTCATCCGATTGGAAATGGCTATTTCTCAAGACTTGAACTTGAATTTTTAAGAAAATAGGGAACTACCGTATAATCGTCATAGTAATAATAAATACTACCGAGAAAATTAAAATCTCGTCGTCTCCTTGAACAGTAACAGTGGAGAAAGAGATCAATTTTCTCCACAGTTTAAGACTAAGCCACTTTCTCAATTTAAAAAACGTATAGGAAATGTACGAATTCTTTAATATCTATAATTAAAAAAAAATATTAAAAAATTCCCATTGAATTTTCCACATCCCGGGAATTTTCCCACCTTTCGTACTATAACAAAAAAATAATTATAACCGGAAAAAAATATAAAAAGTCTGTTGATTTCTGTCCAGGAGTATAAAGTATAAATTAACTGGAATCTAAACTAAACTGCGCACCAGTCAATGTGTCGCGACCAAAAATTTCGTCCTTTTTCAAAACGACATAACTTTTTTGTTTCTTGAACGATTTTATTTTGGTTTGTAATGTCTGCTAGCCCCATTCTCTGGAAATACATGCTATAGATATGAAGCTCACGGTTATTCAAGTAAATTTCCTACAGGGTGATATCTAAAACGGTGAAAAATTTCAAAAACTTCATCCAAGCCCCGTTTGTAAAAAAAATATTTTTTTCTCGTTTTTACTTTGAAATAATGAAGTATTATGTCTTACCTTGAAACGTTTGTCAAATTTTTCGAATTGGAATCTTAGCAACAAAAATATGATTTTTTTTTCAAAAGAGTACATTTGCTGCTTTTTTGTAGGCAATACACTGAGCCTTTTTAAGATAAAAAAGATAAGATGGTGAAAGATTGTTCCTTGAATAATTCTGAACAAGCGATAAGCAACAAACTTCCATTAATTTCAGAGGAACCTAAGCAAAGACCACTTTTTCAAAATGACATTTTTTAGAAAATTTGCGAAAACTAAACCTGAACCGATATTACGTTTCAGTTGTCAAATTTAAGTTTTAGATGAAACCAAAATCACCAAGAATCAAAATTCGAAAACAATTCCCGGCTGTTAAATGTCTTAATAACATGCCTTTGCCAATGAAAAAAATCATATTTTTGTTGCTAAGATTCCAATTCGAAAAATTTGAAAAACGTTTCAAGGTAAGACATAATACTTCATTATTTCAAAGTAAAAACGAGAAAAAAATATTTATTTTACAAACGGGGCTTGGATGAAGTTATTGAAATTTTTCACTGTTTTACATATCACCCTGTAGTAAATTTACTTGAAGAACCGTGAGCTTCATATCTATAGCATGAATTGCCAGTGAATGGGGCTAGCAGACATCACAAACCAAAATAAAATCGTTCAAGAAACAAAAAAGTTATGTCGTTTTGAAAAAGGATGAAATTTTTGGTCGCGACACATTGACTGGTGCGCAGTTTATTTGTGTTCCTTCATGCATTCCGTTGTCAAACGGAATAAACGTAAAATAAAATTATTTTCCATACTTCCTGACCCAGTTGTTTTCAGCTTTTCATCGTCAATAATCTGTTAAACTATTTATACAATTTTTTTCCATTGCTGAGCACTTTCACGTTACTCGGCAATTTTTCCGTATTAATAATAAATTGTGAGTAAAAGCTACTGTAATTAAATTTAATACTATTGCAATAGTTACTATTGTGAACATATTTGAGGAGTGATTTTTCAAAAGGTCGTATTTCCATTTGCAACAATTTTTCAAAAAAATGACTATAACCTGTATAGGTTAGGGCAATATAGATTATTTAAAAAAAAATTCTGATGAATATTTAATAATACTTCAGACCTGCTGTCATATTTCGCCGTTAATATATGCCTTTTAACCATACCTTTGGGATTTTGTCAAAAAATTACATTCAAAATGGAAATAAGGCCTTTTGAAAAATCACTCCTCATTTATTAGGCTTCTAACTATGAAGCTTAAGCTTATAAGCTTAATAATATAAGTTTTTACACAATTTCTGATTATTACAAACGCGACAACAATTATTGCCAAGTAACGTTATAGCTTGAATCTAAAATTTAATCATTTTTAGGTATTAGATTTAGAATGGTGGCCAATCAGTCGAGACAGTTTTGTCTATGGCCTGTCTGTGATATTGTTAGTTTGTTTTCTACAAGATGGAAAAATTTATTTTAACGAAGCATTAACGCTAGTCTTAGTATATACAGCTTATATTTTACGTAAGTATTTAGTATGCAAATTATACATGTATAAATATGTTTTAGTTATTTTTAATTAATTCATTAAAATTTTAGTTATGTGTTTCAACAATTACTTAAGCAGAGGAGCCCACAGAGTGGTAGCAAAATTCCGTAAACCGAAATATTATCAGGTCGATGAAAGTCACCCTTTACTCTTCAAAGATCAAAATGGCAATGCCAAGGGTGTATGTGATATACTGGATGCAGAACTTACCCTTAAGGATTGTGAGGATTTAGGTAAAAAACTGCAGGCCCTTTAAGTTGTATAAAGAACCTATTGAATTAAAGTTAAAAACAAAGATCAAATAAGTATACTTCTTATAATTATTAGTAATAAAACTCTAAAAATATTATTTTATCAACATGAAATAAATTTTACAGAGGAATCAACGAAAATTTGGGAATGGCCTATTGAAGAAACAGCCCAAGGACAGTTATGGTGGGTTTTAACTTGGCCTATATCTTTTATATTGTACATGACCATGCCAGATTGTAGAAAACACCCTAAATTAAGTTGTATTACTTTCGCTATGTGCATTATTTGGATAGCAGGGACATCATACACGGTAGCTTGGCTTATAACAATAGTTGGTAATATTATTTTAAAATATAATAAATATAAACATTATTTATTACATCCATATTTTAGGAGATACTTTGGATATCCCTGATTCCGTTATGGGTCTTACATTTCTAGCGGCCGGGACAAGTGTCCCTGAAGCAGTTTCAAGTGTTATTGTTACAAATCAAGGTTGGTAAAATGTCAACCATTATCTTTAAAATCATTAATTATCTTGTTATATAAATCAGACCGTTTTGCTTGCTTACAGAGACTTTTAAAACGCCCCTTATTTGTGACGGTAATTTCAAAAAGCAATTTATCAAATGCAGACCGAGTCTGTGACAATTTTAATGCTAATTACCTTGAGCTTTTGTTTTTTTTTTCTTTGTAATTTATTTATTTAAAATAAAACTACATTTTCTTTTAACGCCTAAAATTTTCAGGACATGGCTCAATGGGCATCAGTAGTTCAATTGGTTCCAATACCTTTGATATTTTACTTTGTTTGGGTCTTCCCTGGATGATAAAAACTGGATTTTACCCAAAAAAGCCTGGTCAACATTGGATAAAAATTAATTCAGGTGGACTAACTTACAGTGCTCTATCCTTACTTAGCACATTGGTACTTCTGTATCTCAGCATAGCTCTTAATAAATTCAAGTAAGTAAATTTAGCATATATGATGCGATTTAATGGGAAAGGGTCGAAAGCAGATAGCAAAAAACTGCAGAACACTTTACTTAAGCTATAATCGATCTTTTTTTCTCTGAGCCTTATTGGCTTTATTAATCCCGAAAATCAAGTTTTCATTCAACAGAATTTACTATAAGTATTTATCAATATTTAAATTATTTTTAATTTTTAGGTTGGACTGGAAAGTGGGATTGACATGCCTTCTAACCTATGTTGGATTCCTAACGTTGGCATCACTTATTGAATTAAATGTGTTTTTCCCAGTTAATCTCCCTGTATGCGATCATTAATTTTTATTTATTATCATTTATCATTGTTATTTTTGTGTAATCATTTTTTCATTAAGTTTTAAGTTAATTTTGTATTATATTACTCTTGACTGATTTAAGCCATAGATTTAAGAATATTAAAGAGTTTTAAAATTTTTTAAAAATAAAAATATTATTTAAAAGATTTCCACAATTTTAATTTTAGTTGTTTCTGAAAAAATTAATCAAACATTTTAATTAATACTTGAAAAAGGACAACTTTGGTGATACAAAACAAAACAAAATGCACAAACAAGTGCTCGCCAACGATGTTGGCATCTTAAGAAGTGTAACTGAACACTTTTCTTCTGAAGATGCCAACATCGCTGGCGACAAGTACTTTAAGCACTTTGTGTTTTGTTTTGGCGTTGGGAAATATTTCTAATATTAGTTTAAAAAATGTATTTCTAAAATGTTACTGAACGAACATCTGACAAATTTTACCATTTTTTCGCACTGAAAAAGTAAATAAAAAAATATCAGGTACATACAAACATAAATCGGGTGCCGAGAAGAAAAAGATTCAGTTTGAGAAAAAACAGGAAAGTGCTGTTGGGCGTGGAATCTCAAATCTCTGAAGAATGTATATTAGACTGGGCCAAAAAAAATCGACTATTTTTTTTGCAAAGTAGGTATATCAAAAATATTGTTTGGGGTGTTGAGTCCATAATATTAATATATATTATATATTAAGAGGTCTATCATCGCAATTTTAGATTTTTTTTCCTGAGCGAGTTTTTGTCTCAGAACTCCCAAACCATTGAGTTTAACAAAATTGACTTAAGAATATTTTTTGAAGAAAATTGAATGTTCTACAAAAAATTGATTGGAATTTCCCGTCAGATGAACCGTTTTCTTACAATCATGCCTTAAAAATTGGCATAGTTTTACAATTTTTTAAGGAATGATTATTCATTTCTTACACTTTATCCACTTTTTTATCGGTTGCTGATTTGCTGGGGCATCTAGGGCGCTTGTCATTTTCAACGTCTTAACGTCTTAACAAGCATTTCTATATGATAATGCAATCAATGCAATCAACAAATAAAAAATCATTAATAGTAGTACCAACACTTTTTCTACAGCTGCTATAGACTTAAGATCCGATACAGCTACCAATTTGCACAACACAAGAAAAACGAAAATTTATGTTACTTTCTGTACACACCTCGTAAATAAATTAATTGAAAAAGTACATTTTCAGTAATATTCGAATATTAAAAGTTATTTCGTTCTGCCCCAGGGCCACTTTAGCCCAAGCCCTGGCTGTGCGACTAGGAATGAAAGTCTTTGTGTTAAAGTCTTTTTAAATTATGCTGTGTTCACAACATTTTTGCAAGAATATGAAAAACAGGTATGTTAAAAAAGCGTGACGATAATTCTGGCAGACATAAGTTCCTGGTACAAAAGAAATTTTAAGAATAGCAGGTAAATGAGTATGAGTATGAGAGATATATTGTCATCCACTGATCTCCCGGGGTTATATTACCCCCTTTCCGTTCTCCTGCGTATCCCGCCAAATCACAGCATTACCTGTGTTTGTTGGATCCGAGTTTTTACGCCGGCTGGTAGATCCACCCTAGGAGTTCGTGGATGACAGTGTCAAAGGTTAAGGCCGCTCCCGGGATTTTTGTCAGCCGGGTCGAGCCATACGTCCAGTTTAGGAAGGGTTTTTGGAGGACATTGAACTGACCCAAAACTAAGTACAATCCGGAATCCTCCTAAACCAGGGCTTTAGTAATAACCCCATTCATTTGGTATTCCTGAATGGGGGTGGGTATGTTAGTTTTTTTTGCTTACTCCGGCTACCAACCTTGTATATTCTTTATTTATTTTATTGCTAAATTAGTGTTTATACCGTTTTCGTTTAATTTATGTCTTTGCATTCTTACTTTTTTTTCCAAATTTAATTTAAAAATATAAATATTAATATACAAAATAGATAAAACCGGCCTTGAAGTGTATGTGGTGGAATGCCACCAAATGGTCTGCATTGACTATTGATAGGATCGTTCTTCTTTTCTTCTGTTCTGTTCTTCCATTTGAGCCGGGGTGTTAGTACGCTGTCCTTGTTGGTGAACTATTTATTTTGTTGTTAAATTAGTGATTATACCGTTTATTATTATTTATTTTGTAACTTTGCATTCTTACTTTATTCCAAATCTAGCCTAAAAATAAAAATAAATTAATTCACGAAATAAATACAGCCGGCCCTGTGGTGTATCGTATTAATTTTTGAAGTACGGACTTAGTCAGGCGTCTAACGTATGCTTTACAGATGGTTTATTTACGTTATTGGCTATTGAGTTCTTATTATCATCTTTGGGTTTGATTTATGGCTGTGACCCTAAATGCTTTACAATGTTACTTATTCAAACACAACACTTTTTTATGATGAATTTTGTCTTCTTGCTTGATTTAGTTTATTTACTCTTACGCCTTTTTCAATGGTTGTTTATGATTTGTCTACTATGAGAAAATGAGGTTGTTTGTTTAACAATTACGGAAATGTTCTTATTATTTTTTAAAATTTAGTTTTTATGACAGATAAAAAGAATTCTTAGATTTTTTGGCAACATTGTGAAATGCTTACATAAACATTCAACGATTATACGGCAAGACATGCAATTAGAAAAATCACTTAGCCTGAAGGTTTTGAGACGCTCTGATCCAGGTGTGCCGGTTGACTTATCGTTGTGGCGGCTACTAGCCTTAATTACTTATTCACTTGCACACTTTTACGGCGTTATCTCGCAATTTTCGCCCTTGTTGCACTTCTTGCACCTGTTCGTTCATTCATTCATTTATTTATTAACGATCACCGATATTTCCGGATACTTTGTTTCGTTTTTGGTACTTTACGTTTGTATCGTATACGCTACTTAGAAGGGGCCTACAAGAGCCAACAATTTTAAGAATAGCAGGTAAAAACCTTAAAATTAAAAAACGATTTTTAATAAATGTGTGATTTGTTTACCCAATTGCCTAACATCTATATTATATATATATATATATATATATATATATATATATATATATACAGTGCTTGCAAATCCAAGTCCGACCGCACTGGAAAGGACGGCTGTTCAATACCCGCGTGAAAAGAATAAGGATAGAATGCCAAACAGAATTTGATTGGTCAGAGCGTCAGGCGTGCGTATTGTAAGCGCCTTCTGTTTGGCGTTCTATCCTTGTTATTTTCACGCGTCCTTCTCAAACCGGTCGGACTTGGATTTGCAAGCACTGTATATATATATATTATATAACGTTATAAAGTGCTCTTTTAGTTCCACCCTTACATCCAAACTAAGATGTCCCGGGTTAGGGGTAGGAACGGACCGACGGCTTAAAGTCCCCTCCGAAGGACTATTATATATATATATATATATATATATATATATATATATATATATATATATATTATATATGTGAGGCAATTGGGTAAAGAAGCCACAAATTTATTAAAAATCGTTTTTTAATTTTAAGGTTTTTATCTGCTATTCTTAAAATTTCTTTTGTACCAGGAGCTTATAGAATATATATATTCTTGATAGGTTTAATTGTGATCCGAGCTTTCCTGAATAAAAATTACCATAGTAGATGGATGGACACCCCGTCCAATTACTTAGATTAGATTCTTTTGCTATATATGCAAGACCTGTTACAGGTACATACATACATACATACATACATACATACATACATACATACATACATACATACATACATACATACATACATACATACATACAGGTATATACAGTATAGAATTTAGACGAATTAAAAAAACGAGTAAAGATAAAACGCAGCAAAATAATTCGAGAGACTCCTGTAATTTTGAGACAGTGCGATGTTCATTTTTAAGAAAATTTTTTTTTTCAAACCCTTAACCCGTGTAGCACATATATGTTCTGTTATAACTTATAGCAATTACGTTAATTTTAAGCTTGCCTTTGACGTCTGGGAATATAATAGCTTCAAAAAATCAAACCGATTCTGAAATCTGAAGCAAAATGATGTTGCTTTAAAGGGTTATACTTGTTGACCTAGATTGGTTTCCGTTAAATTTATCAATTTATTAAGTTGGCAGAAAATGAGTGGAATTTGAAGATTGAATGAATTTTCATATTTATTGTAGAGGAACGCTCGGGTTTGCTTCCCAGTATCGGAATACTTTTGTAATTTTTTTTCCCTTAAAAATATTTTATCTAGAAAAAATGTTTTTTGTTATTGTTAATATAACTCAATACAAAGCTTTTTTTCTCTGTGTAAGTTAAAATTTTTTTAGGTAACCACAATACCAACATTTGTTTTGACCCAAATGAACCATTATCATTTTTATTTTCTTATTAAAAATCTGTATTGCAAATTTCTCAATATTACAATGGAAAATGGAGCGTAGCGGTAAATTTTCAGCATTTTTTAAGTTCAATTTTCTGACTTGTTCAAAATGTTAATTTATTAAATGTAATTTAATTGGTATGAAATTAGGTAATTTTTTGGTAAATATTATTAATTTAAACATAACAAAATGTTTAAAATACCGAATAAAGATTCATTTAGTTATGGCAGGAAATAACCAATTGGAGAGGAATTTTGTGAATTTACTCTAAATATAAATAAAACTGTAGCTGATGGATAAAAGCCGATCTATTTTTTTGGATTTATCAAGTAAAAATAACTCTATACGACCTGTTTGACATACAAAAACTGTACTATTTAATATTGTTAGTTTAAAATGGCAAAAAGTCAATACACAAAAAAAATTAGGGTTCAAATTGTTACCCTTTGGGGGCTCTCCTGACCATAATTTTGACTTTATTTACTTTTCTTTAATTTTTTTATTTACTTACAGTTTGACATAAAATGTTGTTTATTACCGGATTTTACTCTTTTATGTCCTTGGGTTTCAAAAATATCAAATAATTTTTTAAGCGTGTTACCGGATAGTAGAAAAAAATGTACTTGGGTGGTTCAGCTTTTCCCTTCAATTAATATAGAAATTAACGTTTAAGACAAAATCACACATATTTTTTCCCTGCTTTAGCGGAAGCTCTTTTCCAACATCCTTCTCTATTGACTATAT